CTACAACCAGGCCCAGGAGCAGCTACAACCAGGCCCAGGAGCAGCTATCATGACTCTTCCACTGTAGCTGCTGGCTACCATCAGAGGGCTGTTATGACCAGGGATCGGGCACCGGCTTTTCTCGGCTGTGTAAAAATCTACAGGTCGTGAGTAAACTTAATAATGTCTAATAAATCCAGACGTGGAAAGAAAGAACATTTGGATGAACAAGGTGTTGAGGAAATGGAGGACATTAAAAAGTCTTTGGACTTTATGAGTATGGAATTGACTAAACTGACTTCAAAACAAGAACTATTACTTGGTTTGTTTGAAGAAGTAAAACAACTAAAAATTCAAATAAATGAAAAAGACCAAAAAATAATTGAACTTGAAAAAAAAGTTGACGATATGGAAAGAAATGCTAGATTGGAGAATCTGATTATAACTGGTTTTACAGTAAAACCAAAGTCTTTTGCAAAAGCTGTGATTGGTTCGGTAACAACGGAGGACGCATCACAGCAAGATCTTCAGACACTGGAAGACCAAGTTATATCATTTCTGCAGGACAAAGACTTTAATATTGAACAGGAGGATGTGTCTACCTGCTACACCTTGCCAGGACAGGATAAAATTAAACCAGCAATAGTGGTTAGATTTATTAGCAGGAAACTTAGAAATAATGTGTTGATGCAGGCAAAAAAACTAAACGGCACAAAGGTGTATATAAATGAACATCTAACAAAAAAGAATGCCAACATTGCACGGGAGTCAAGGTTGTTAAAAAAACAAAAAAATATAACATCTACATGGACGAGAAATGGATATGTTTGGATAAAAGTAAAAGAACAATCACAACCCAAAATAATAAAGGAAATGAAGGACTTGGAAAAATTTAAATAATCCAGAAGAATGGAAACCATCAAATCATCAAATTATATTTAATACATAATTGATAAAACATTTGTTCAATGAACGGATGTTTTTGACTATGACAGATCATACTGAAACTGAATCGAAAATATACAATGTTGATGACTTGATTGATCCTGTTTTTTTTCCAATAATAGAGGATTGTGAATATTATAGTGAACAACAATTTAATGATCTTAGCCTAAAAAAATCTGGCTTATCTATAATTCATTTCAATTGTAGGAGTATAAATGCAAATATTTCCAAGATTACTGATTATTTAAAACAACTTGATCGAACATTTACAATAATCGCATTGTCTGAGACGTGGTTAAAGGATGAAAATATAATTAATGCACAAATCGATGGGTATGAATTATATACTATGAATAGATATAACAAAAGAGGTGGTGGTGTGGCACTTTTTGTAAATAGTGCTATAAAATGTAATTTAATCAGAGAAATGTCAATGATTGATGAGAATTTAATTGAAATGATAACTATTGAAATAATTAATAATAATGACAGAAATATTATAATAAGTTGTGTATACAGACCACCTGGATCGAATATTGAGGCATTCACAGATAAAATTATTGAACTGTTTGATAAAAGATGTAACAAAACAATTTTTCTGTGTGGTGACTTTAATATTGATTTAGGAATGTAATTTAGGAT